CCCAGGGCCCAACGATTAACTGTGTACGTTCTGTCCTGGTTTGTCTTACCAAAATGCAACCCTCGCATTTATCTGAATTAAACTCCATCTGGGGAAATGAAGCACAGATTGAGTGACCGTTTTGCAGAATACCAACGTTCTGACCCTGAGCTTCTGGTTGCCTGCAACTTCAACACTCTGCCGTGTTCTCTGGCCAACATTTCCATCTCAGGCTTGCTGCAGTGCTCCAGCAAAGCTCAGCACAATCTGGAAGAACAGCATCTCATTTTCCGCTTGGGAAACTCGCAGCCTTCTGGACTCAATGTCAAGTTCAATAATTTTGGGGCTTGACACTTTCTCACCAGGTCTTTACCCCAACCCCAACCCCAACACATCAGACCTTGCTGTCACATGCGGTTGTTACCGTAGACAACCCATTGCCAACCACTAATGGTTCCTATTAGCAGGTAATCATTCCCCCAAGCTGACCTTTACCTAGTCCTTGGTCTTCCCAATGGTATCTCTCTCTATCTCTGGGCTCCATCTCCACCTATAATTTTGTCCTTCCCCAACCTGTCACCCCACCTTCAACATATATAACAACCTTTTCCTAGTTGCAATCAGTTCTGAAGAAGGGTCACTGGACCTGAAATGTTAACATTGTTTTCTCTCCACAGATGCTGTCAGACCTACGAAGTTTTTCCAGCGGTTTCTGATTTTGTTTCTGATTTCCAGCACCCATAGTTCTTTGGTTTCTGATTAATCCATGTCTCTCATACATCGATATATTCTGTGCCTCAGAATTCTTTCTAATAGATTCCCCACCACTGAGGTTAGACTGACTGGTCTATACTTCCTACCTCTTTGAATAATGGGACAATGTTAGCAGCCCTCAGCATCTCATCTGCAGCCAGAGATAATATTTGAATTACTGCCAGAGCATCTGATATTTTATGCCATGTCTCCTTCAGCAGCCTGCGATACACCTCATTCAGGTCAATGGATCTATCTACTTTAAAAGCTGCTAAATCCACGCTTGCCTCCACTGTCTCTGTATCAATTTTTTCTTGTACTTCACAGACCTCCAGCCTGATGTTTGTACTTGTATCACCCTCTTCCGAGCACTGTTGTTCTTCACTAATATAAATGATGTGGATGAGAGTACAGGAGATTATGGTTAGTAAGTTTGCTGGTGACACTAAAATCGGTGGTATAGTGGACAGTGAAGAAAGTTATCTAAGAATACAATGGGATCTTGATCAACTGGGTCAGTGGGCCGAGGAATGGCAGGTGGATTTTAATTCAGAAAAATGCGAGGTGTTTCATTTTGGTAAGACAAACTAGGACAGGGCTTACAGAGTTAATGGCAGGGCCCTGGATAGAGTTGTTGAATAAACAGGCCTAGATGTGCAGGTGCATAGTTCCTTGGGAGTGGTATCACAAGTTGACAGGGTGGTGAAGAAGGTGTTTGACATACTTGAGTACAGGAGTTGGGATGACATGTTGTAGCTATACAAGACATTGGTAAGGCCATATTTGGAGTGCTGCATACAACTCTGGTCACCCTGCTACAGAAGAATGTTATTAAACTGGTAAAGGTGCAAAAAAAAGGATTTGCAAAAATGTTTCTAAGACTGGGAATATTTATATTATGTGTTATAAAGAGAAGTTGGATAGGCAGGGATTTCTTTCCCGAAGGATAGGAGGCTGAAGAGTTCCTTATAGAGGTTTATAAAATCACAAGGGGCATAGATAAGGTGAACTTTTTCACACAGAAGGTGGTGCATATATGGAACGAAATGCCAAGGGAAGTGGTAGAAGCGGGTACAATTATAACATTTCAAAGACATTTTGATGAGTACATGGATAGGAAAGATTTAGAGGAATATGTGCCAAACGCAGACAAATGGGACTAGTTCAGTTTAGGAAACCCAGTGACCATAGATGAATTGGACTTAAAGGCCTCTTTCTGTGCTGTATAATCCTATGATTCTATGTAATGGAGTGATGCAATGCATTCTTGACTTGTGTGTTGTGAAGTCTAAGTTATTTGGTTCTGAAAGGGTTAATGTAGTGGAATGGTTTGAATGTCACTTACTGCAATGGTGTGAATAGATTTTGGGTGAGATGATCTCAGGACACTCAACAAAAGAGGTCTTGTAGATCCCGACTGAAAAGGAACATTAAGGCAGCAAATCCAGATTCTGGGGACCAAGAGTCCAGAGAGCTCCCAGAACATCGATGGAAGCAGTGACAAGGTGACTATTGCTGTTGCTGAACCAGGAAATTTGTTACTGGCGGCGGGAGAAGGGGTCTGTAGAAGGGGCTTTGGTGTTGGCAGGGGCTGTCGCCGCCAACATCAAGGACGGCCCTGCCAACGCTAATGCCGCTCCACCCACTGCCTCAACAGCCACCAGCTATACAGCCAACATCAGCCCCCAGCCCTGCCGGATCTTCATCATCACCCCAGACCTCCCCCTCACTGAGGGCGAATGGTCAGTCCTCAGTAAAGGGCTCACCTTTATCCCCCTCCACCCGAACATCAACAAATACCGCTCACTCCTAGACGTTGAACAGTTTTTCCGCCGCCTCCGCCCCTGCACTTATTTCTTTAGATGCGAGTCAAACCCCCCTCTACAGACCCCTTCTCCCGCCTCCAACACAGCCCATCTTCCTGGACACCATCTCGACCTCTTCATCTCCAACTGCCGTCGAGACATCGAATGCCTCAACCTCTCCAACCCTTTCAGCCACTCCAACCTCTCCCCCACGGAATGTGCAGCCCTCTGCTCCAACACCAAGCTCACTATTAAGCCCACGGACATGGGTGGCACAGTTGTAGTATGGCGCACTGACCTCTACATCGCCGAGGCCAGACGCCAACTCTCTGACACCTCCTCCTACCGCCCCCTTGATCATGACCCCACCCCGACCACCAAAACATCATCTCCCATACCATCCATAACCTTATCAGCTCAGGTGACCTCCCACCCACAGCCTCCAACCTCATCGTTCCCCAACCCCGCACCGCCTGTTTCTATGTCCTTCCCAAAATCCACAAACCTGACTGCCCTGGCCAACCCATTGTCTCCGCCTGCTCCTGCCCCACCGAACTTATCTCCGCTTATCTTGACTCTACTTCCTCCATCCTGGTCTAGGAACTCCCCACCTATGTCTAGGACACCACCTACGCCCTCCAACTCCTCCAAAACTTCAGATTCCCTGGCCCCCAACATCTCATCTTCACCATGGACGTCTAGTCCCTATATACTTGCATTCCACATGCAGATGGCCTAAAAGCCCTCCACTTCTTCCTGTCCCGCAGGCCCGACCAGTCCCCCTCCACCGACATCCTTATCCGCTTAACTGAACTCATCCTTACCCTTAACAACTTCTCCTTCAACTCCTCCCACCTCCTACAGACTAAGGGGGTGGCCATGGGTACCCGCATGGGCCCAAGCTATGCCTGTCTCTCTGTAGGATACGTGCAACAGTCCCTCTTCCACAGCTACACTGCCTCTATCCCCCACCTCTTCCTCCACTACATCGATGACTGTATTGGCACTGCCTTGTGCTCCCATGAGGATTTTGAACAGTTCATCCACATACCTAACAGCTTCCACCCCAGCCTCAAGTTCAACTGGACCATCTCTGATACCTCTCTCTCCTTCCTGGACCTCTCTGTCTCCATCTCTGGTGACCACCTCGAAACTGATATCTACTTCAAGCCCACAGACTCCCACAGCTACCTAGACTACACCTCCTCTCACCCACCTTCCTGCAAGAGTGCATTCCCCTACTCCCAATTCCTCTGCCTTCACCGCAACTGCTGAGGCATTCCACTCCCGAACATCCCAGATGTCCTCGTATTTCAAGGACTGCAACTTCCCCCCCAGCAGTGGTTGAAAACGTCCTTGACCACACCTCTTGCGTTTCCCGCACCTCAGCCCTCACACCCCCTCCCCGCAATATAAACAAAGGCAGAATTACCCTTGTCCTCACATATCACCCCATTAACCTCTGGATTCAACACATCATTCTCCACCACCTCAGCCACCTGCGATCTGACCCCACTACCAAGGATATATTTCCCTCCCCACCCTTATCTGCCTTCCGGAGGACTGCTCCCTCTGCAACTCCCTCGTCTGCTCCACACTCCCCAATAGCCCCGGCACCTTTCCCTGCAACCACAGGAAGTGCTACACCTGCCCCTACACCTCCCCCCACACCCCCATCCCAGGCCCTAAGAAGACCTTCCTCATCAAACAGATGTTCACTGCACATCCGCTAATGTGGTATACTTATCCGCTGTTCCCGATATGGCCTCCTCTACATCGGTGAGACCAAGCGGAGGCTCGGAGACCACTTTGTGGAGCACCTACGCTCGGTTAGTGACAAACAACAACCTTCCAGTCGCGAACAACTTCAACTCCCCCTCCCACTCCCTGGACGGCATGACCATCCTGTGCCTGCTCCAGTGCCACAACGATGCCACCCGGAAACTGGAGGATCAGCACCTCATATTCCGCCTGGGAACCCTACAACCCAATGGTCTCAATGTGGACTTTACCAGCTTCAAAATCTCCCCACAACCCAACCTCACCCGAAGAACAGCCCCACCCTCTCGTCCCCACCTCACTGACCTGTCCGGCTTCTCTCCCAACTACCAGCTCCTCCCTCCCCACGGGCCTCCCCCCACCCCCACCTCCCTGCTATCACCGCCCCCCTCTCTCTTTATTTTTAAAGAGTCCCCTCCTCCTCCTCCCCCATTTCTGAAGAAGGGTCACGCCCCGATTCATCAGCTTTCCTGCTCCTCTGATGCTGCCTGGCCTGCTGTGTTCATCCAGCTCTACACTGTGTTATTGCCACTCAGCTCATTCTGAAAGTGAAAGTGTTTATCCGATTGGGAATTTTCCTACGCCGAGGCAGGAGTTCGCAACTTGTTTGAAGTCTATTCTTCCGGAGACTGATGACTCAATGAATCCTTTTATTATGATTGGATCAATGATATTTTGGGACCAATCAGTGTGAAGGTGCCTGAGCGAACCGGAACAAGGTTTGAGATGAGACCAGGGCACTGCTCGCAGACTGAGACATCCCGCTGGAAAATAATTTCTCACCCATTTCTCCTCCCAGGCTGTTAGCTGAAGGCACAATGATCGGACTGTTAGTGCTGGGGCTTCTGTGCGGAGAGCTCTCTGCAGGTGGGTAATTGGGGGTTGTGTGGGGGGTGCAATGCCAGACTGGGTCCTGGTGCTTTAGTCCTCAGTCAGTGGCGGAGAATGATACATTGAATGCAGAGGTTAATGGGGTGATATGAGGACAAGGGGAATTCTGTCTTTGTTTTCATTGCGGGGAGGGGATGTGAGGGCAGAGGTGCGGGAAACGCAAGGGTTGTGGTCAAGATCACTTTCGACCACTGAAGCGGGGAAGTTGCGGTCCTTGAAATAAGAGGATATCGGGATGTTTCGGGAGTGGAACCCCCCATCTTGGGAGCAGACGCAACGGAGGTGGAGGAATTTGGAGTAAGGGATTGCATTCTTGCAGGAACGTGGGTGAGAGGAGGTGTATTCCAGGTAGCTGTGGGGGTCAGTGTTGTCCGTCACTTCTGCCACCTGCAATCTGATCCCACAAACAAAAATAATTCCCCACCCCACCCCTATATGCCTTCCCTATGGATTGCTCTTTCTGTGACTCCGTCGTCCGCTCCACACACCCTACTAGTCCCACCACCCCCAGAACCTTTTTCTGCAACTGCAGGAAGTGTTACACATGCCCCTACATCTCCGTCCCCACCTCACCTCCATCCCAGGCCCCAAACAAACGTTTCACATCAGACAGAGGGTCACCTGCACATCCATCAATGTGGTCTATTGCATCCGCTGCTCCCGCTGTAGCCTCCTCTACATTGGTGAGACGAAGCGGAGGCTCGGAGACTGCTTTGTAGAGCACTTGCGCTCTGTTTGTGACAAACGACAACACCTTCCAGTCACGAACCACTTCAACTCCCCCTCCCACTCCATGGGCAACATGTCCATCCTGGGCCTCCTCCAGTGTCACAATGATGCCACCTGGAAACTGGAGGAACAGCACGTCATATTCCACCTTGGGAGCCTACAGCCCAATGGTCTCAATGTGGACTTTACTAGCTTCAAAATCTCCCCATCCCTGTCCTCATCCCATGACCAACCCTCCCTCACATCCCCACCTCCTTGACCTGACACAACCTGTTGTCTCTACCACCTATCTGCTACTCTCCCCTCACTGACCAATCCCCACCACTGCCTACCTGCACTCCCCTATCACCATCCCAGCTACCTTTCCCAGTCCCACCTGTCCTCTCTCTATTTATTTAAGAGCTTCCTTCCCGCTCCCCCATTTCTGAAGAAGGGTGCTGACTGCGATTTTAACCCTGGAACATATGACTGTCAGAGTGGTGTATGTGGTACAATTTATTTGATTTCATGTTTTTAACTTCAGTGAATCCAAGATTTAAAATTATTCAGGTTTGTATGAGACTTAACTATAATGCGACAGCAAAAACTTTTGTTTCAAATGATTTATTGAACATTAAACGATAGAAAAGTGAAAAAGTTAAAATATTAGAAAATACATTTTCAAGTAAAGCAAAAGTGAAAAATGTATTAACTTGAGAACTAAACAAACTCTGATTTTGCAACGGATGAGGCTGAAGTGAATTGTGAAATTCTCTCCTTTCCCCAGCGTTGGATAATAAGTTAACAAAATGGCTTCTCAAATGTTCATTTTATTTCACTAACTCATATTTTATTCTCTCCAATTGGCCTAACTGTGGTATACTCATTGATTAACTAAACTGTCTGGTTATTATGATTGGTTTCTGACACAGTGAACACTTTCCCCATGTTTATGAACACTGTCCCCTACAGTAATACATCAGGACTCATCAGAATGTTTCTACATCTTATTGTTGTAGATTATTTCAGCAATGTCTAATAATGCCCCATTCTTTACCCAGTTTGCTGAGTCTGTACAACAGGAAGGCCAAGTAGGAAGGTTTCAGCTCAGCACTTTTTATTGTTTTGCTTGGGACTCACCATTTGGTGGAGTTACAATACAATGTACATTTAAAATGATATATTATTATAAGACATCACAGACTTTGTGTTGTAGGTTACATGTTCAGCTTTTGCAAATACCTAATAATTTATTCCTTATTTTTTAATTGCTTCACAGTCAAGGCTGATTAATCATTTTAAGTTGATTTCAAATTTGAGAAACTGATTTCAAAACGTCTCCTGTGATCGTCTCAAACTGGCTTCTCAATATTCTAGTTTACTATAACAACCAGGTTATAGAAATAGTGAAATTTCCCCTGGAGTGGGGACTCCTTGCGATATTGACAGAGAAGTGACAGAGAAGCTGGGGAGTTCTGGGGCATCGGGGTCACTGTTGCTGGACCCGGACCCTGGAACATCTTACAGCAATGGGAAACCTTAAGAACACTGGAGCTGTGCTTGAGACCTCGGCCAATGTCTGGAAACAAAAAATATCAATTTGAATAGAAGATGAACCCTATTTGGTTAATTTCTTTTCATTCATTTTGTCATTCAAAATGTTGCCAGATTGTGGCGAATAAACACTTTTCACTGTATTATCCCAAATACGTCTGAAAATAAAATCATTCAAATTCAACAATATAATTTTTAAACCTACCTGTAATATTCAGACTACAGAGATGAATTCACAGCCCAATTTGTCATATTGTACAAAGGAAATAGAGTCATTGCCCCCACAAAGGAGTTGTGGGCACATCTTGAACCACACCCCTGCAAGTCATTCGGAACTGGGTAGATGAAGGCAAGAGATGTGCTCAACTGGCAAAACATGAGCAATGAAATCAAGGAAGACACCAGCCAGGGCAGTCCCAGAAGGAAAAAATACTAAAACTTGTGAATGATGCATAATGGTGCAGCTTGTTATGTAGCACTCAGAACAGTGCTCCAGTATGACTAGTACGTTCGTTTCCAATTACTATTTTTGTCCTGGATTTTTCCATTTTGGGTGCATGAGTTACCAAGGTTAGCAAGTGAGAGAGCTGCAGATGACACATGACATTCTAGATAAAGCATGGATGAAGCTGGAAAGAGACTTTTTCACTCTTGCAGGAACTGAATATCTTGTCACTATAGACTAATATTCTGTCTAACAGGAGTTGGACCAGCTAACTTCCATGATGACCGCTATGGTAGTAGATTGTCTGAAAAATAAAACTTTAGCCAATACCGCACTCCCAACATTATGATGAGCAAACATGGCAGGTAGGACGTGAGTGAAGTATTCAGCTGTTTCATACAGAGTTCAGGACACTAACACCATACATCCAATCCTGCTGTCAGCCAAATGGAAAGGCCAAGATGGAAGTGAAAATCGCGAAAAAAAATTGTGGAAATCCACCACAAGACAATCCTGAAGTAGAGAAACACAGGTACTGAAGGTATAGAGAGTTGTCGAGTACAAAGATTAAAATGTTGGGAATTACAACACCACATGTCACCTCCACACTATTCCATGTCAAATGGAAAGGCTGAGGTGGAACTGAAATGCACCAAATAAATCATTTTTAAAGAATCAAGCAAATCCTGGACAATTCAATCCTCAAGTCAGAGTTCACTGAAGGCATGGAGAGTATAAACTTTAATGTCACTTGACATCCAAACTACTGTACAATGGCAAAAAAAAAAATCTTCTGGAGCTACAAGTACTAATGGGTGTGAGGGACAAAATGATGGTGAAATGGCAGAAAGTCAAACATTATTTTTTGACAAGATTCTTAAACTGTTTCCAGAATGGAATATTGGAGAGGCAGTCAGGGTAGAACCATTCAACATTTTCACCAAGAGACAGCTGAGGTGCAGAGAGCAGTTGTTTTCTTACTTGTACCGCAGTGAAATGATCAAACAGTTATACCAATTGAGGTTTATAAAATCATGACGGGCATAGATAAGGTGAATGGCAAAGGTCTTTCCCTAGGGTGGGGAAGTTCAAAACTAGGGGACATATTTTTTCAGGTGAGAGGAGAAAGATTTAAAAAGTGGGGCAACACAGTGGTTGTGTGTGGAATGAACTACCAGGGAAAGTGGTGGTTGCAGGTATAGTTATAACATTTTAAATACATTTGGATAAATACAGGAAAAGTCTGGAGAGATATGGGCCAAGCGGAGGCCAGTGGGACTACTTTTGTTTGGGACTTGATCAGCGTGGATGAGTTGGATCGACGGGTCTGTTTCCTTGCTGTATGACTCTATACCATTGCAACTGCAGTGCATACACACAACTGGAGTAACCGTTCCTTCCCTGCAGTTGCACATGCCACAAATCAACCATCAGCTCCCGAGGTCCACAAAACCCCAACATCGGAAAGGAACACCAGTGGAAACTAAAAGTGACATGGGAATATCCAGCATCACGGATCTGAGGAACTTGTTCCTGTCACTGTGTCAAAAACTGAAGGGGCCAAATGACCTCTTCCTATTCCTGCATAGCAAGCTTGAAGGGCTGAATGGCCTCCTCATGTTCCGGTCTGACAGTTTCAAGAAACTGAATGTTTTGCTCGTTTTCCATTGTAATCTGCTTGGACTTTTTTTTATTTTAGTCAATGACATCCGAGTACAGGTAAAGCTGGAATTTGTTGCTCGTTGTTATTTGCTCTCGGCGGTGAGCAAGAATGTTGAATCATTGCAGTCCACCATTTGCAGAAAGAGCCAGAGTGCTGATAGGGAGCAAGCTCACAAATTATGTTCCAGTGACAGTGAGGGAACAGTGAGATTCTTCCAAGTCAGGATGAGACATGGAGGTGAATTTGTAGATGGTGTGTTCCCATCTGTCTGCTCCCTTTGGCCTTGGAGGAAGGAGATTTTATGAGTTGGGAATGTACTGTCAAATGATGCTGGGCAGGATCCTGCAGTGCATCTTCTCAGAGATACACTCTTTACTGTCACTCTGCATCAGTGGTGAAGGCAATGAATGTTGGAGATGTTGAATAGTCCCCTTGGTGGGTTGCTCTATGCTAGATGGTGTTCAGCTTCTTGTGTGTTGGAACTATACTCATCCAGACAAGTGGAGAGCATTTCATTCATCTTCTCCCATGTGTTATAGAAGATGTTCAATTCTGCAATGGTTATCGCTGTGGACAGTAGTAATATTCATTCAACATGCTGACATT